CGGCAAACTGAAAGCGCGCACTCTCGCGCACACAGCGGGAGATCTGGAGGAGTACAGGAAGTCTAGGTATGATCTCCGGAGAGCAATAAAAAATGCAAAGAGACAGTACAAAGAGAAGGTGGAATCTGACTTCAAAGGCTGTAACACTAGGAATATGTGGGCGGGACTAAGGACAATGACTGACTACAAAGGAGCAGCGGGGGGTGCTGCGGGAGTGTCTGCGTGCGCATCTCTCCCAGATGAGCTAAACAGTTTTTTTGCACGCTTTGAGAGCAGCCAGGCTGTGGAGGTACAGAGGGACCAGGAGCTACACTGCCCTTTTGTTTTAAATAGGGCAGATGTGTGTAAATCCTTTAAAAGGGTTAACCCACACAAGGCTCCTGGACCTGATGGCATCCCTGGCCGTGTTCTCAGGGTGTGTGCAGTTCAGCTGGCAGAGGTGTTCACAGACATCTTCAACAGGTCCCTGCTGCAGTCTGTAGTCCCCACATGTCTTAAACACTCCACCATCATTCCTGTCCCCAAAAAGACAATCATCACCTGCCCCAACGACTACCGCCCAGTAGCACTCACCTCCATCATAATGAAGTGCTTTGAGCGGTTAGTCAAATTATTCATCACCTCCTCCCTCCCTGAATCTCTGGACCCCCTGCAGTTTGCCTACAGAGCAAACAGGTCCACAGACGACGCCATAGCCCTCACCCTCCACACTGCCCTCTCACACCTGGACCCGAAGAACAGGAACACATATGTGAGAATGCTGTTCATTGACTACAGTTCAGCATTCAACACCATTGTGCCCTCCAAGCTGGCCATCAAGCTCAGAGACCTCGGGCTCAACAGCGCCCTCTGCGACTGGATCCTGAACTTCCTGACGGGCAGACCCCAGGCAGTGCGGGTGGGAAACATCACATCCTCCACCCTGATTCTTAACACCGGTGCCCCTCAAGGCTGCGTGCTCAGCCCTCTCCTCTACTCCCTGTTCACCCACGACTGCGTGGCCACACACAGCTCCAACACCATCGTGAAGTTTGCTGATGACACGACCGTCATCGGCCAGATCACAGACGATGACGAGACGGCATACAGAGAGGAGGTCGAAAACCTGACATCTTGGTGCCAGGAGAACAACCTCCATCTCAACATCAGCAAAACAAAGGAGCTGATTGTGGATTACAGGAAGCAGCAGGGAGAGGGACACGCCCCCATCGCCATCAATGGGACTATGGTGGAGAGAGTCAAAAGCTTCAGGTTCCTTGGGGTCCACATCACTGAGGACCTGACATGGTCTCTTCACACCACCACCATCACCAAGAAAGCTCGACAGCGGCTCTTCTTCCTCCGCAGGCTGAGGAGGTTCAAAATGGATTCCAGGATACTCTGCAACTTCTACAGGTGCACGATAGAGAGTATCCTCACTGGCAGCATGACGGCCTGGTACGGCAGCTGCACCGACCTCGATCGTAAGGCTTTACAGAGGGTGGTGAAAACTGCACAGCACATCACCAGGACGGAGCTGCCATCCATGGAGGACCTTTACTCCCAGCGGCTCAGGAAGAAATCACTACGGATTATCAAAGACCCCCATCACCCCAGCCACAAACTGTTCTTTCTGTTGCCGTCTGGCAGACGTTACCGCAGCATCCGGGCAAGGACAAGAAGATTCGGAGACAGTTTCTTCCCGCGGGCAGTGAGACTGTTAAACAATTGAACTGTTGAAACAACATCAAACATTCAACTGCTACTCAGTAGTATGTATCTAATACCTAATATATATATATCATTCCAATAACTTGTATATAGACTCATACTGCACTATTCCACATCATAACTTTATTTCATTTTTATAACTATTATTATTTTTGTATTGCTCTTGCTCTTATTGTTATTATGTTATGTTATTATGTTGCATTGTTGGAGAAGCCTGTGACATAAGATTTTCAACTGCATAATTACTCCGTAGCTATGTCAGATTGACAATAAAGAACCTTGAACCTTGATATATATAAAAGAACACTAAGCTCCTAAAATAACATATGTGTGTCTGAAATGGGCCGTTATAAGTATGTTTGCTGTATCTTTTAATATTATTTTTCTATGTAGTCAATAGTTTTTGCATCTTTTTGTAGTCCTGTTGGTCTCTATGTTGGCTTTTTGTGTGTCTTTGTAGTTGTTTTGTATCACTTTGTAATAGTTTTGGTCATTTTTGCAGCTGTTTTGCATCTATTTGTAGTTATTTTGGTGTTTTTTTTGGTCTTTCTGTGTCTCTTTGTAGTTGCTTTGTATCACTTTAAAATAATCTTCGTCATTTTTGCAACTGTTTGCATCTATTTTCACTCTTTGTAATCTTTTTACATGTCTTTATGGTCCTTTTGAGAGGAAAGGACACGAGGGGCTAGCTTTATAAGAAACAATCCACTGAATGGAAGATGTGTATTGGAATCAAAAGTATTATATCTGAACTGTAAGGCAGTATAATTGTAATAATGCATCTGAACTTAAGTTCAATACCTTGTAACTTCATTCATTTCCAGCACTGCATGGAGTTTTGACAGAAACAGGATTTGTTGGGAAAATAACACTCTTGATCATTTCCCCTGTGCTCGGATAACCTTCACAACAACACAGACTGTGTGTACACTGCCAAAGGGAATGTGAACCTATAGAAGGAGGATGCAGTAGTAAACAGCTCTAAGTTTTAATGAACCTTGTGTGGTTTCACTTGTCAGATTACAACCGCAGGGGGTACTCTCATATAGCGTGAGAACTTACTGTGTCACAGCTAATTCACTGTTATTTCAAGTGAAAAGTGCTGCTATCAGACAGAGAGACTACTGTGAAATATGGATGGTGTGTACATACCAAATGTGTTTTCCTTACACTAATTACATGGTATACACACCTCTCTGCTCTGAGCCCCCAAACACTTTTCAAGTTGCCCCGAGCCTTTTCCCGTCACTTTGTGTAGAGATAACAGCGTCAGCTCGGCTGCTTTTCTCTAAGTGCATCCCTGTTATCTTTCCGTTCCATATGTACAGTGTTTACTCTGCCACGTGTGTAGCATTAATGCATGCCATTACTGTAATATTCCCGGCATTAATGCATTCCCCTTCACTAAGAAAACTGAAATTAAGGTCGAGCACTCTGGCAGGTCTGCACACAGGAGAGAAGCACTGAGAAAAAGAGGTGTGTGTGTGTGTGTGTGTGTGTGTGTGTGTGTGTGTGTGTGTGTGTGTGTGTGTGTGTGTGTGTGTGTGTGTGTGTGTTTTCCTTGAATCTTGATGTAAGAGACAGGGCAAGACGTACTATGTTCACGAATAACCCTCTCAAGACGTGACATGGCTACAATATTTGTTCCTATTCATTTCTAATGACCAGTGTCACGTGATCGTCAACTTTCCCAGCGTGAAAAAAAAACATGGCGGAATGTTTTTGTGGAAAATCCTAAATTGTAGGATAGTTTGGCCATTAAAGCGCTTTTTGATTACATTTTTAGTGAGAAGTGTATATCCTACCATCCAAATATACGTCCAGTGGATGTATAAGATCTATAGTTTAATAGATATTACGAAAATTATTTGAGGTCTCACTAGGAAAACGTATGTCCGCCATGTTTTTTTTTCACGCTGGGAAAGTTGACATGACATGGACACTGAAGGAGAAAAGGGAGTAAAGAAGGAAAGCTAGGGAAAATTGAAAGAAATAAACAGAAGGAAAGATAATAAATGACATCAACATGAAAAATATCATGCAGGTTTATTTTGGAGTCTTCTCCGTGTTAAATTGGTTCACAATGATGTCATCGCTAATTGAGGCAACTCACAAGTCAGTAGATGGAAATTAACCTCCTGCCACTCAATTTACAGCTTTTATCTCAGAGCTCATGCAAAAAACCCTCATTGTGTCCTACTTTAACTACAAACAAGAAACCACCAATTAATAAGTGTGAAAAGTTTGAGAAAATTATGAGTTCATTGTTTTCTGTATCAGAACACCTTACAGTGCCTCACATTACAATATGTCCGTAGTAGAACTAAATATGCTTTTACTTACTCCAGATTTGGAATGATATATTGTAAAGTTCTCCCTAAATGGTTTGAATTCACTTATTGTAAGTCGCAGTCGACAGAAGCGCTATATGAATTGTATCATTACTCTCGCTGTAGTTTCTGTGGTTTCTACGGAGCCCTGGAGGGTTCATCGAGAGAAGAATAAATAAAACGAGGCCACGTTTTATCCATTTGTGCGCACGAGATGTAATTCGTGGCCTCAATTTAAATAAAACGAGGCCACTCTTTATTAATTCGTGCGCACGATATACTTTCTCGTTCGCACAAGATACTTTCTTATGGTTAGACACATCGAACTGCCCGATTATTACGCCATATTATTAGTTTTATGAAGAAGATGTCCGGTCGCCAGGGCGTGTGTGTGTATGTTTGTGTGCGTGTCTGTGTCTGTGTGTGTGTGTGTATGTGTGGGCATTTGTTTTCAGAAGATATTATGATAGTGGCGTTCGTTCCGGTGCACTCATTTAGCACTAGCCTACATCAAGATTAAGATTAAACGAACTTCTTTCACTTGGGAATACACATATGGAGTTAGCCAGATGTGTGTAAAGACACAGCTCTCTGCGCGCAGATAGCAGATACTCTGAGAGTCACGGACATGAATTCATAGATCAAGGCAGACTGGTTCACAGACTCTCCTGTTTTGCGAATCCGGTGCTTAAACAAATAGCTCTACACCTCTGGCCGAGGTGCACTGTCATTTCCCCACATAAACATAACAGTCTGCAATTAAACAGTTGTCTCCTGTGTGCTCCACTTCCTACTTGGCGCACCGGTAACTTTCTCGTGCGAACGAGAAAGTATCTTGTGCGCACAAATTAATAACACATGGCCTCGTTTTATTTAAATTGATTCCTAAAATTGGTTAATATCCAATCAATTGAAACAGGTGTTACGGTATCTGAGAGGACCCAAATGCATGACATGGCAGAGTGTTGAAAAAAGGTTTTATTTGAGGTGGAGGAGCAGAGAGAATAATCCGGCTGGAATGGCGACTGGTGGCGGCTGGTGATGACAACTCGGCGGTCGGAGAGTGATCCTGGAGCACAAGAAGAAACACGTAAGAAGAACATTCAGTGTTTGAGGAAATAGCTGAATAATGCTAAGTAGGCTAGGAGTTATACCACAGTGGGTTAAACAACGATCTGGCGCTGACAGGTTGTGGAGCCTCCGCTGATATGCCGTTGTAGATGGCTGATGGGAATCAGGTGTGTAGTAGGGGAGGGTGAACAGGTGATTGCAGCAGGTGAGCCGGGAGCCAGAGTGACAGCCACCACGCCCACACAAACACAGACAAGGAAAGGGAAAACAACCCAAAGGAGGCGGCTGGAAGTGTACAGCCACCACAACAGGAAACATGTTTTGGAGGAAAAGTCATACTGATTGGTTGTTCACAATTGTTCACACGGTTTGACATCTTTTTTCTTCATATACATTTGCGTGGCACCTATCCCTGCTGTTAAACTGTATATTGACAGCCTGTTTTCACTGAGCATATGCTGTGAAGACATTATGTTCTCTGTGAGGCAATTAGCTGGTTGTTTTTAACTAAACACAATCTGGCTTTGACGTTTTATTTTTGGAAATACTTCTCTTTCTGGGCTTGACAACATAAGCCTGTCTAAGAGAGTGTTAATTATGAACTCAATGCTGTTTTATATATTTTTGTGTAGTTGTAGTCATGCAGACAATGTTCAAAGTGAACTTTAAATGTGATGGTACAACAAGGATTTGACGTAATTCTGAAGCTAGTCAGGTAGCTTCCTATATTTTAGCCACCATATCCTAAAAGCTTTACAGAAGCTACGTTTCTCTTGTGTGTGTAAGCAGTCTGTAACACACACAGGGAGTGGGAGGCAGGATTTCCAGACAAATCTGTCCTGTTTATCCTTCATCCCTCTGATTTATCCATGCCTCCCTCCTGTATATCCTGTTATCCTTCGCTTTTCAGGGTCTTTACAGAGGGGGAGAGTAAGCATATATACAGCCTATACTGTACACCATAAAATAACTAATTATTTACTGTTTATGGGATTAGGACTGGACATACGCGCTGCATCCTAATTCAGGCTCTGGCTCGTTCCCAGTTGGCATTACAAGACCATTATGTCAAAAATAAGTCCACTAAGTCAGTCTACTTGTTCACATATTTGAAGGATAAACTGTGTGTGCTGGTGAAATGTTTAAAAGTGTGAAATATGATTTGTCCAAGAGATATTTCAAACTGTGCAGATGGTTACTGTGAGTGCATGAGATGAAAGAAACTAAATGCACTCAGAAGGATTGCATTGATATAACCTGCAGAAATAAGACAATAGAAGTGTGTCATTTTAGAAAAACCTGCAAAATATGTATAGCACCACTCAATGTGCTGCCAAGTACATTGTGTCTTTGTGCTCCTGTGCTATTTGTACATAATCAAATACATTTATATATGCATTGATTTGGCCCAAAATGTGCTCCTTTCAATGCAAATAAACCTCAAAGATCAGTGCCTATAGCCATGCTGCTACAGTAAAATGATTCACGCATTTAACTTAAGGATCTACAGAGAGTTGTTGAAGCGCATTTTTACCGACAGATGGTCAGCAAGGGCTAAAATCCCAAAGTTCCATCCACAGGGAGTTTCTCTCCCACACGCTACCCCCCCACTGCCTGAAACGCCTCCATTGGACTCCTTTGTTTACTAAGTAACATAATGACATCACTATGTTACACTTGCACTTCCAGTGGTTAGCGCAACACATTGTGTAGGACATTTTCGACAAATCTCTAAGCCTTTGAACAATCACAATAGAGCTGTCCAGCTAACCAATCAGAGCAGACTGGGCTCTGGTTTCAGACAGAGGGTGCTGCAGCACAGGCAAGTATGAGAAAAATAAAGAGTTTTTTGAACATTAAAGCATGTAAACATGTCACAGTAGAGGCACAAAATACTAGTATGAATGCTTTTGCACCTTCTCGGTCATGACCTGAATGTCATTGGACTTTTCACACCTCCTGAATGTGTTAATGGTTTATCATAGATGGATTTGACCTAAAATGGTCCATGTAGCATTTCTTGTTTTAAAAAAAGTTGTGTCCTCGTGGGAAGTGACATCATTCTAGAAAACACTTTAGCTAGTCTAATAAACACACACACACACACACACACACACACACACACACACACACACACACACACACACACACACACACACACACACACACACACACACACACACACACACACATACATAAATGCATAAAACAGGATAATCTTTAAATATAACTGCCTCTTCCCTTTTATTTATTTATTTAGTGACAAAGACATTGATATTCCTAATAATCATGTACCCTCCCCTTTCAACATTTGAATTACGTATATTTCTTTACTAACTTCAATACCTGGCATTTATTCATGAAAAAGGTGTGATTTTAAACTATGCCAGACAAAAATTACATTGCTTTTCTTTTTTATGTGTTTGCAACATTATTATAACTCAAAATTAAAGTTGTATTCAATTCTTTTCATATTCGTTATAGTTGGGAAACTTGGATTAGTTGCTGTCCTCATCTTTCGCCCTCTACTGGACTTGAATCTTGCTGCGAAATATTTCATTTATATTGTAGCCATTCATTTGAATAGTTGAATTGCCAGTCCAGTGCTGATCCAGTAGGTTTTTTGTAGCCATTTATTTACTTATTTTTATGTTTTTCAGTTTCCATTGTCTATTGTTTACCTTGACACACATTGCTCATTCCATTTATATACATACATACATACATTTTGGGGTGAATTACTTTTTTTTTGGAATTAGCCCAAAATAGGTCAAACTAAATAAAATAATAGTGTAATTAAGTTAAATCAGGTTCAAAAAAAAAATCCCACCCTGTCTTTTCCCTCCCTCTTCTCATCCTCCCCAACCTCTCCCCACCTTCTTCCACCCCTCCTTCTATCTCTTCTTCTCTCCTCTCGTCCACCTTCTGCCCTCCACTTTTCCTCCCTGTGGCGAATCAGAAGAAGATCACACTCTGCGTGAGTTCTTCACACCACTGGTGGGATTTGATGAGCTGGGAGGTGGATGTTGGATTTAAGGCGGGAGGGAAATTGTGACACTGTTGGGAACCTGTGCCAATTCCAACCACTCGTTTTTCCACTTGAACGCTCCTCACTTGGTTGATGTTCTCCAGAGGCGGCTGCTTTCCCTTCAAAATTGAGATCTAGTGTGGTCCACCAGGTGTAGAGAACACTTTGCGCCTGTGGGAACGGAGCCAAACTGCTGCATATTTAAATAAAATATCAAACATGTATATCCATACGTGGGGAAAATCATTTTCCCTCCAGTTGAGGATGTGTGTAGCTTCTGCGCCACACTGAAGCTATACATCCTGTGCTCTCACATAGTTCAATCATGTGAAAGTGGATCACCTGAGCAGCGATGATGTGAAGAGACATTTGCCTGCCAGTCTAATGTCATTGACATAAATCAGACGGAGAGAAGGGTTTGCATGATGAGCGCCTACATCGCGTGCTCTCAGGAGTCCAGCTTTGAGCAGATATCTGTTTTTGTTCCGCTGGTTTTATATAAAAATATCCCCGAGTTATCCCATATAATACACCCGGAATAACTTGTGGCGTATATGTCACTTGAGGCGTGATTTGACATTGATTGAATAATATTAGTTCCTAGATCCATTATATGTTGTAAACCAAGTGCCACTCAAAGACAAAAAGGACCACATTTTCTGGACTATGTTTTTGTCTTTATTTCAGAAAGTAAATGATAAGATCAATGTCTGGTTATTAAAGGGCTGTTTTTCTATGTTTTTTTTTAACCACAAACAATTCTATGGGAAATATTCTCCCTGTCTGTGGCTCACAAATCCATTGGTTCATCTGAAGACTTATGCTGCGTTCACACCGGACGCGATGCGATAATTGGGGGCGGCGTGATTACATCTAAAGTCAATGCAGAGACGCGGACAGACGCGAATTCGCTCCGACGGCGCGCATGAAGCGGTGGACGCGGCGCGAATCACGCGATTGAGGCGATTGAACGGTGCCGCGTTAAATGCGAGAGTTCAATTTTTTCAACTCGACGCGTTCTCGCGGAAGCCAATCAGCGGTGAGGATCTCAGCCTGCCGTCACTGACGTTCAACCACACAACATCAGCCGTTAGCTGTTAGCAGTTAGCACACAGAGCTCACAGCTCCTCATATCTGTTCAGAAACTGGACAAAAGTTAAACAAGTACAAACCACAGACTGTCTGTGTCATGGCGAATACAGTCGCTGGTTTATTTATGTCTGTAGGCCGTTGTTATGAGTGTGGACGGAGCATATACAACGTTAGCTTAGCCTGGTCGACCCGATCTTCATTCAGAAAACAAGCATTTAAAAAGATTTTTCGCCTGCCGTCTTGTCTGCAGACTTGTCAAGCATTCATTCATGGTTTTTACTAACCGGTATCAGTATGTTGTTACTTCGGCATCATTTAGAAACGTGTATTACAATTTAATCACGGTCAAATATGTTAATTTTGTTGTAGTTGTAGCTCCCGAGCCAGCGCGTCTTGTTTGAATGATGCGAGTAAACACAGCTGGCAGCCGCGGTGAAACTCCAGCGTTTAGAGCGATGCGATAGGAGCGATTAGAGCGAAGCGAATATTCGCATCGCGTCCGGTGTGAACGCAGCATTACATTTTCTTTAAACAGTTCGGAAATGTGCATCCATCATCCGTATAGCTTACAAAACATTACTCCTTATATTTCGTGCTTTCTTCTACACATTTCCAACATCAGGTGGTCAATTCCACCTGCACTCAGACGTATACAGATACATGTCCATCCCTAAACGAAACAGCTTGATTTAGGAACAGATTGTAGTTTGGTTTCAAATATTGGAACTGGCATTTCTTAAGTATGGGAGTTACCTAAACATAGAAAAAAGAAAAAAAGAAAAACATGGAATCACACGGGACAACAATTGTGTTTCCTCAATAATCCAACAAAGTTCCCCCTTCATGCACTTTGAGGTTCTTTATACTTTCCTGTTCACAATAATGCGGAAAATTGATTTAGAGTGTTTTTTACAACATTCAGTGAATTATTTTTCAAAGGTACTGTATAGCTAAAAACAATGATTGAACACGGCCTGCAAAAATGCAGTTACATTTTTTTATGGTTTTAAATGAAAAGAAATGTAGGGGTGGATTAATCAACATTTGG